GAAACTCCACAGAGCACTTCAGAGGAGCCTGGGAGGGAACCTAACTTTGGTCGATGACAGACAGCAACCACAGAGCCTTTCCAGGACAATTTCACGTTTCTTCCTGTTGAATAGGAAGCTTTGTAGATCCTGATAACAGGAGACATGAGACATACACAGGGACACGCCTAAACTGCTCTGAAGTCAGAGCCTCCTTCTACTTTGGGACTGAAAACTGAAGACCTCTCTGACAGAAGGCTCCAAATGGAGGAGAAGAAAAACTCATTTTTCAGTGTAGCCCAGTGTAACAAGGTCCCTGGAAACCCTTACAGTCCAAGTATGTGTCCCAGTGTTTTGCTGCACGTCAGAGGGTCCACCCACCTGGTGCCAGCTCTCCACCTACTCCATGCAGCAGAAGGCCCTGGGAGTAGACAGTGTACTGGCTGAGGTCCCCCAACTGAAACATCTACCATAACCTTCGGTGAACAATGCCCTCCTGTTATCCAAGTTGCCTTAAACTCACCTTCTAGTGAAGCTATGTTAATGCACAATTCTAATGAAATACTTCATTCACAACATCTAGTTTCAGCAAAGCAGTTACAGATGCTTGTGAAAGACAGAAGTGAAAAAAAAAGAAAACCACAATTAAACCCCTTAGACTAAAAATAACCAGAAAATTCTTTCTCATTCCCTTATTGCTCTGAAGTGCTGTCCTCTCCTGGCAGGGTGCTACACAGAGCTTCCTTCTCCAAGCATACCTTACCTTATGCCTTGTTGCACCTGTTAAGGAGAGCCCTCCATGAGAAAGTCTGCATCACAGTGCACACTCACTTTGACAGCTCTGGGAAGCTCCTTGGCTGGGGAAGGCTCCTTCCCAACCCCTTTGAAGGGGGTTCAGACAGATTTAATCTTTCACTGTGAATCTCACAGTACTTATTCCTTGTCCAGGAGATAGTTTGGCCATTTGTCTTCATTAAAATAAAGACTGCTTCACTCCCTTGAAGATGCAAATATTTCTTCCTCAGATGGGTGGGAACTACTCTGTTTGACCGACTGGTTAACACTTTGTTGCCTCAGGAAGTTCCCTTTTCTTCCCTCTAGTGACTCACTGGCATGTTTAACTATGAAATGTATCTTACACAGAATCTTGTATTTTGTAGTAGTCTGTACATTAACTAGTATACTTGTTGCACCCATCTATATGGGATTAATACATGCAGAACATTGCTGGCGTTTGGCTGAGACCGGACACAACAGTAGTTGGGTGGGTAATCTTTAACATCTTTCTCTTGTAGGCAGACTCAACATCCAGATTCTGCTGGGCTGCATGGACAGATCCCAGAGCTGTTACTTCCCATACCATGCTATATTCTAAAAGAGCCTACATTTCATCAACCTCGCTGAAGCTGGACCTCCGTCCAGCAAGGAGAAGTTATCAATACGGTTTGTCAGGATGTGCAGTGTCCTAGCAAGAGAAGTGCTCATGCCCTTCCTGGGAGGCACTATTGCCATCAGCACCCAAAGCAGTATTCCCCAACTCCCCACAGTCTCCTGCTGCATGTGTGGTGCATGAGAAAAAGCATCATTTCAGACTGTCTCAGCTGTGGAATCAGAGGGGAAAGACCATGGGAAAGCAATGTGCACACGTCTACAGTATTTCCTGATGGGTTAGCAACTTCCCTTCTCTTTCAGCTGAGACCAGATGTACATTCTAGCAATGGCTGTCACCCCTACAGTGGTTTTACATCAAGTCAACATGCAGTCAGCCAGCGACTTTATGAGTCACTGTGTGAAAGCTGCTGAACACCCAGACTTCCCCATGGTAGAAAAAAAAATTGAGAGAATTTGTGAAGAGTGTGGAGGAGGTCTTGAAACACTTTCTGATCATCCATCTCAGTAAAGAGATGACTGGTCCCTGAGAGATCTGAGAAATGTTTATGACCTTACAAACCAAGAGTTTTGCATCAACTGCTGTTGGTGGGTAATGGTGAGCAGAAGACCTTTAACTACATGGATCAGACTGAAGGCCAACCAGCTAGCTTCCACTGAACCTCTGAGTTACCATGCTTGTGCACTAAACAGTGATATCTCTCTCAAACACTCCAGCATACTTTCATCATCTAGTGATAGCTATGATAAAGAGAGAGCAACCTAGGAGTACATCTACACAAGTAAGACCTTGATGGAAGAGAGACCTAGCTCCTGCTGCCGAAACAATGGTGCTATGGAGGCAAAGCAGGAAGGAGGCCCATAAAACCCTGTGACAGAGATGTATGCTGGCACCATGTCCCCATGACAAATGCTGCCAGTGTTTATCTTGATACTCCCAGCAGCAGCTGCAGCAATGACAGGATAAATAAGCAGTTAGGACAAGTCAGCAGGTGCAGTCAGTGAGCTGTCCAGTCTATGAGAATTGCGATAAACATTACCCATGCCAATGCAGGTCTATCATAGGAAAGATGGGAACTGCAGTTTTATAGCGTATTGTCTTTGACTTATCATATGGCTCAAAGCCAAAGAATACTTCCTGAGTGTCAAGGTGCAATCCCACTGTTAGACAGCAAGCCTTGCATGCCAAATGTGACTTTATGGTGACTGCATGGCTCAGCAGGTCCAACTTTGCAGCACAGTCAAGGAAGAAAGTGCATATCCAACATGAGACTGGACAATCTGCCTATGGATAGTCCTGCACTAGCAGTTTTGCAGGGACAAAGGTCAGAACCAATTAGTCAGATTAAATCAAAACAGTGTCCAGACATGCGCATGACAGGGCTGGATGAGGCTTCATCACACACTTCAACAGAAGGGCCTAGAGGTTGCATTCAGCTTCTGCTTTGTCTGAGGCCTAGATGACACCACTTTGAGGAAGCGTAGGCATTTGGGATGTGAATCTGATAGTGCAATATAGCCTAACTAGAGCAAAAATACTCCCAAGCAATACCATCAAACAAATAAACTAGCAAAAAGCAGTATCTACACAGCTAGAAGACTTTCAGGCAGCAGCATATTCTAACAGAGCAGGCTGAAAGAAACTGAGCTTGCCAGGAACACCAGCTAAGCTGGAGGAGTGGAGGGGCCAGAGTGCCCCCGTACATGCTGCAGGAGAATCCTGTTGTCACACAAAAGGCTCATGGAAGGTGTGGGAGGCTTAGAAATGCGTGATTCTTGAGTCCAGCACAAGAAACAAGAGCAGCCTAACTTCAAAGCCAGTTGGGCTTAGGACTACTCTGGTGAGGAGCTTTCTCATCTAAACAGAACTTGAATAAGTGCTCCCTAAAGCAAGGACCAGAACACAGAAATCCCACTTCTACCCTCTCTTTTATTCTCTGTTATTCTGAGAACCATATTTCTTGCTGCATAGCAATCCCATTGCAGTAGCTGAGAGCACAACCGTAGGTGGTTCGGGCATTCTCCCAAAAAGGACTGGTTCGGAGTGACCTCTGGAAGTCTCCAGCCCAGCTACTCACTCCGAGCAGGACCACTGCTAACAACAGATCAGGTCAGCCACAGCTTTCTCTAGCCAGGTTCTGAGATCTCCCAAGGATGGAGATTCCACCACCTCCCTGGTCAGCCTGTGCCAGGGCTATCCTGCCTTCCTAGGGAAAATCGCTTTCCTGATTTCTGATCTGGACCTACCAAGCAGGATGTGGTTATTGGCCCTTGTTATATTGTCTGTAACTTTTGTGAGAAAAGTAAAAAGCTGCCTGACATTATTGAGAAACTGATTCCAGGCCATCTACCCTTCTGAGGTAGGGTTCCTGTGACAACAGCTTTTATCACATAAAAACCAGGCTCTGCCTCTTACTGGTTTTATCTGACCTCAGCCCAGTGGATGTGAGTAAGGGTCCATCACCATGATGGCTCAGGACTGAGTTTAATCACCTCCACACCCACCTCCGAATTGCAGTGGGGACAGGGCATCTAACTCCTACTGATCTCCCTAACCGTGCAAGGGATGCTGCCCATGAGCCAGAGCAGACTATGCTTGAAAATGAAGGCAGTGTTTAATGGTAATGTGCCTTCTGGAGGGTCCTATGAGATGTCAGTGAATAAAACTCAAGTAAATAATGACTTGGCCAAGTTCTAAGCCAAAGGCTTCTGAAATAAAACACTTCAGTCCCTGAATGGACCGTGAGGCACGTTGTGACAGCCCATGGCTCTCCTTGCACTCACAGTGAGTCAGAAAGAGGAATGCCAGTGGTCATTCCTGATGGCTTTGACTCCATTGTGAACAAGGTGAACTCCTGCTGTCCTTTCCTCCCCTGTCATTCTGTCATTCCTTCTGCTAAAGAAATCTGGTTTTGCTGGTCACAAGTCTCTGTTTTGCAATGCTGTTCTGAGCTCATGACGAGAAAAGCAGGTAGACACAGAGTCTTAGGTAAGCCAGAGGTGATACAAGTTTGACAGGTCTTGAGAAGCTGATAAGATCGTGAGTTAAGTCTGCTTCTCTACTGGCACGACAGCGAATAAAACACACAAATATAGACTGAAAATTCTGTCTTTGATGTCCCATTACATGTGTCTGTCTTCCCTTGTCTCCATGGGCAAGCTGACTCTGACTTGAGCAACTTTTTCATTAACTATTTCTGTTTTCCCCAATGGTGCTTTAGTGATACCTGACATTCTATCAAACTACTTCACATATATGTACATATATAGACATAAACATTTCCAGCTTAAGGGGAAGGAATAAAGAATATGGTAAAATAAGGAATGTGGTAAAAATTATATCCTTAACAGTGTTTTATATTCTAAAACATGTATGGCAGGGGTGTTTCTACTTTACATTCTCTGTCTTTTGTAAAAGCTTCAGATGTCTTCTAATGGTCAGAATTAAGATGACAGACGATCAGAAGACTAAATCTTCTTATAATTATTTTCTTTCATACGGTGGCAGGGTCATATTAATTCCTTTGACTCTGGGCCTACTTTGTCATCAAAATCAACTTGAGAGACAATTTCCTGCAACAGATCTGTACTGCTAGGGTGGCACATTTACTGGAGCCCCCACCCCCACTTACCATTTGTGAAGGTGTTCACGTAGTACCTTCGGCCCTGGGGAGACATATAGCTCTGCCAGCCGGGGGGAAGATGGCTGTTCAAGGTATCTTCTCCTGTCTGAGGAGTTGCCTTTCTGGGTTTCTGCTGAGAAAAGAAAAAAAAAACCAACCTATTAAGTCAATATCTAAATAATGCCAAGTCTAACCAGACACGCATCTGGAAAGGGACCATGTGGTCTGGCATTCTAGAGATTGCAATACACCCAAAGACTTTTAGTCCATTTCTCCCCTCATCTGTCCTAGCTTCATCCAGAGCATGAAGCAAGCTTCCCTTGGAGCACTGGCTACAGAGAACATCTTTGGGAGAGAAATGAAACCCCTCTGTATTTGATGTCCCATGAGCACCTGGACCTGTCCAAGAAAATGACTCTCATTAAGCAGTAAAATCCAAAGCATAAAATGATCAAGTGTCTGAGAAAGAAAGGAATGCATCTGGCACTCACTTACTTTCATGTGGATATACTGGTGGCTCAAAGCACTGGTCATGGAGGTGCTGCCCCAATTTAATTTACAGGGAAACCATCACCTTCAGACTTTTCAAGAAGAAACACTGCAGAGCCATGTTGCCTATAGTGGTAGTGTGCTGAAGTGCATTTATCGGTATGCTGATTATATGCTAATAATGCATGTAATTAGCAATGCATACATTACTGATCCAGATCTAATCTGGATCCATATCATCCAGATACAGGATCATTAGGATCCAGATTATTAGGAGTGATCCAGATCATTAGGAACAGCAGGAGATTAATGTTATGCTGTCACCTGCTCTACAGGCACACACAGAACTGCTATCAGGCTTCAAGCGCCACCTCAGCTGTACACCTCTTCACCAACTCAGTTGCAGGTTCAGGGTGCAATGAAGAGAAAGAGGTGAAGCTGAAGTGCAAGTAATTGTCTGCACTACATTGCATCACCTGGACTATTTCCTTCTTCCATGTAGGTCTGGTGGTTCCTTGGTAGCTTGGGATTTACAGCAGCTGCTTGATGTGAGACTGGCAAAGAGGGCTTCATCCCAAAGGAGGCATGAACCCTGTCTGGTCCCTTCAACCAGGAACACTGAATAAGGCAAAGGTAGAAAGATAAGATGCATGGCCAAAGAGTGCCAGCTGCAGCCCTACAGGGGCTGCGGCTAGGAACCCAACAGCCTCCTTCTGGCTCACATCCAGAGAGCTCCCCTCTGCCTTTCCACATTCCCTATGGCAAACCAAGCATGCAATGTACTCATTTTTTGTTTGTTTGCATTGCCTTCAAAGGAAGAAATACAAAAGAACAAGGAAAAATGTGTGAAATGGGATTATTTATCCCATGGAAGCTAATCTCTATCCAGCAAATGCCTCCCGACACAGCAGGGGACAGGTCTGAAGTGACTGCACTCGATTCACAAGCAGTCACGTCCAGGGGACAGGCAGAGTTTCAGCATCAGGCTGCATATAATGTTCAAACATTGACAGATGTGAACAGTACCATCAGAAAGAAACCTGTGATGTGGTGTTCTCCTACACACATCCAGTCTCTGAGTTAAATTCCAACTCTGTTCCAAGCCAGAATAAAAGGGACATTTAATGATTTTGGAGCCAAAAGTCTATTTTATGTTTCTTTTCAGTTTCAGAAAACTCTGATTACAATGGCTCTCAAGAGGCACTGAACTCAAGAATGATCATGCCTCATCAAGCGTACTTGCACAGACAGGTCACAGGCTGCAAGGCAGCCATATGGACCCAAGGCCAGTGTGAGATGAATACTCTTTCACCACTGCAGCGCAGATGGAGCCTATGTTGGTTCAGATTTTAGCTCCCCTCCCTGAGTAGAGATACAGCCTGGGAGACTCAGCTGGCCCAACATGAATTTAACAACTTAGCTCGGGACATGCTAAGGGACTCTACTGGGTCTATGATTCAAATCCCATGCTCTGCATGCCTATCACTAGCAGGGTGGTATGCAGAATTAATCAGTAGGATCTCCGCCATCTATTCCTATCCCCTGTGTTTCTGCTCTCTAAGGTTTAATCAAATCAATTTACAGTTCCACTCACCCTGCTGTACATGTGAGAAAGCAGAAGCTTTCACAGTTTATGTTACTATTTGATTTTATTTTTTTTGCAGATCTCAGCTTAGGATGCAAGTGAAAACTTCTTTTACACATTAGCCTGCCCGAAGGCACATGTTCTCATTATTGTTAGTGTTATACTATTGCCTAGAAATGCACTAAATGAAATTCTTGTCTTAGTGAAGCTAGCAAAGCCATGCCTGTTCTGTGATCACAGGGGCAGGACCCCTCCACACATGACACTCAAACACCTCTCTGTTTCATATAGCTTTCCGTGAAAGCTCTGAATCCTACTAATGAAAACATTAAACTTCATGAATATGACAGAAAAATTAAGCTATCCCTGTTTTACCTCCGAGTTATCCGAGTTCTTTTCCAACATGATATAGGTGTTTATGCAAGTGCCTTGTTTCACTATGCAATGCCACAATGGCTCCAACAACCACGTACTTATTTCCAATTCTTTACAGCCACGTACTGGCACCAGCAGAACCTTGCTCACGCAGCCCTGACACCTGCAGTATGGCCCCAATATCCAGCATCATCCTTTTCTTTGGGTTTACCCTTACTCAAGACTGAAAATAGCTCACTGCAGGCTTCCCAGGCATAATGTCCCTGGAAGCATCGCATTGCTTGTACAGGTGATGCAGACCAGTGGATGGGTGTATGGCACTGACACATACTTTTTTATCACATGGACCTTACGAACAAAAGCTGTTTTGTGCAAGCTTCCTTTTGGTCCTGTTCAGCTCCTGTGACCTGCCACGCAGGGGAGCTTCTCCATCTCACATCTCTCTCAGACACCCCTCTCTACAGTTTCACCTAATGTAATGAAACACTGGGAAGAAAAAAGAACTCTTGGAAAGAGTATGTCTGACCAGTGCAGTCACCCCAGTAATTGCAATAACAGCTAAGAAGAAGGCTGGTTGATTTCTGTCTCCAGGACTACCTTCTGAGGGGCTGTCCTTGCACCTTACCCATACACAGTCCTTGTCCAAAACACAGGTAGGTCTGGTGAGAAAGCCAGGGCTAAAAGGCATTCAAAGGTTCAGGATCAATTAACATATGCAGAGAAGGTCAGATCAGAGGGGAAAGCATGATAGCCCCAAGCTATTTTTTGAACCACAAAACCAGTCTCTCTCCCAGCATATTCCAAGGGATAGCACAGAGTGCTGGGACAAATACTGGGACAGCTCCTAAACTCTCTCCATCACAGGGCCAATGCCCCCCCATTATTGTTTGCAAAAGCACATTGAAGAGAAACAAAATTCAGCAGTGTAGGAATGTACCAGCCACTGAAGAATTTGGCAGCAGGTTGCGTCCCTTAGATTCACTGCACAGACCTCTGGCCTTGAAGATAAACACCAGACTATCTCTGCTGTGCATGATCACCCCATAAAGAGGAATTTGGGATAATCCAACCATGGGTTCTGTTCCAGAATCTAGAATGATAGAATGATAGAATCATTTAGGTTGGAAAGGACCTTTAAGATCATGGAGTCCAACCGTTCAAGAAGGTACAGAATTTCACACATTTTTACTGCACGCTCACCATTTCTGTCCTTAACACCTTCTTTCCCTTCTGGAACAGAAGTCCTATCCATTCCCACTACCCCTCTTCCTTAATAGGGTCCTACAGTGATCCCATAGAATCATAGACTCATAGAATAGTTTGGGTTGGAAGGGACTCTAAAGGTCATCTAGTCCAACCCCCCTGCCGTGGGCACATGTACCAAGTAGGTCAAGACTAGGTTCAGCTCACTTTAGGGGCCCATGATATTACCTCATTTCGCACGGTCAGCACCAGTACCCTGCAAGGACAGATACCGCTGGTTTGCTTAAGGGAAGCTCTGCAATTGCCCCAACATCCTTTGAGTCACTTTTTCAGTGTTGCTTCAGGCCTCCCTGATGGACTGCAGGAAAAGCAGAAGTCTTTTACAGACAGGTGCCATGGTTGTGCTCTTAAACAAAGGCTATGCCAAGACATGGATGTGGACAGCATAGAGTGGACACCAGCAAATGTTGGATGGAAACAGTATAAAGACCAAAGTTAAGCCAATGTTTTAGCTATAGTCCCTGTCAAAATGTGTATCACTTCAAAAAAGCACACAAGCATTATGTTTTGCAGTTGCTAATTCTATTTTTGAGTTACTAATATTTCTACCTTTGCTTCTGATTTTGCCAGTAAAGAAGTGTTGCGAGCACAGTAGTCCCTATCAATGATGGTCAAGAGGACTGAATATAAGGGAAACCCCAGCACCGCCAAATGCAGAACTTCTTGTAAACAATGGGGCAATGGTTTGCTTGAATGTGTGTGGAGTATGGATGTGTGGATCTCTTCCTTTTGTTTTAGAGAGGAATGTAATCCTAAAGCAGCTCACTATTGGACAGGACTTTATCCCTCCATGGGGCCTGCAGAGGAAGATCCTCTGGATGCTGGGACCACTTCTGTGTTAGAGCCCCTAACTGGGCCCAGTGCAATCCCCTCCCACACACACTTGAACTCCCACTCCTATAGCAGCTCTGCTCCAAACTGATACTTTATGGGGAAAGAGGAACTGAAAATGGCATAGGGGAGGAATCGAAGAAGAAACAAAACTTGGCTTCATCCTCTACTGCTCACCACCCTACACCCATTGAAGCTGAGGTACCAGGAGGCTCTGGGATAGATGGTGTGGGGCAGTACCATATGGGGCTGGGCTCTATAATGCATCACAGATTAAGTACCTCATAGTTTTGGCACACTCAGCAGCACATCCTTTCAGAAATGAGAGTGCCACGGAGGCCATGATGGCAGCACATCATCCCTTCTCTGCCAAAACAGGAGATCTGAGCAACAGGAGAGTCTTTCTTGCTGTTTTTCTCAGCAGACACAACCGTGTCCTAGCCAGAGCCTCTGCAGTCCCTTCTTTAGCATCAGCACAGTTAAACTGGAACCACGTTTGCACACCCCTATGGGAGAAGTTCGGGCTGACCTGGCATGTAATGATAGGCAATCCTGCTGCCAGTCCACTGAGACAAGACAAGAGACGGGGGCCCGGGGACAGCAGGGAGCCGGGAAGCGACCGGCAGATGGTGTTCACGGACCCAGCTCCACAGCTGGCACAGCCCCGCCAGACAGGCTTCAAACCTCTCCCCAAACCCCGCTCCTACCGGGACACACCCTGTGCCCAGCCACGGGAGGCACTTCTGCTTGCACACCTCTTCCTTAGACGGCTTGGCAAGACTGTGCTATTACTTTGATCTCTTGTTCCTAGTTTTAGGAGAATTATTGCCAGGATAGTTTATGAGAACGGTAAATCACAACAGAGGACTGTCTACATGAAAAGGAGGTTTCGATATCAGCAGAGAGCATTACAAACCAGCAAAAACAGAACAGCAGGCAGTGACTGGAAGTTGAAACTAGACAGGCTCAGATTGAAACAAATCTGCCAGTCGTGAGGATAAGTATCAACTGGAACGGCTTACCAGGGGGCTGTGCACTTCTTGTAGTTCCTCCATCAAGATTAAGTGCCTCTTTCTGCTCTATTCCAACCAGAGAAAAAGATGGGACCCTGAAGCCCCTGACCTGGCTGTGCAGAAGCTCAGGCTGGGTGGGCTAGCAATCCCTTCTGCCTTCCAAATCTTGCAACTCCCGCAGTGCCTTTGAGCTGGGAGAAACACTTATGCCACTCCCCTCACTGTCACTTCTGGGAGTGTCACCAGCCACTGCATGATGGTGGACAGGCATATCTGGACCTGAAAAGGATGTCTGCAACACACCGTTGAGGAAACAGGAAATTTGAACAATGTGAGCAGAGCAGAGAACATGTGACCCAGTGAAATCCTCCTGCATCTGTATTTGCTGCCTGGAAAAGGGACCAAAGTATCTCTCAAAACATTCAAAACCAAGAACACAAGCACTTCCCTCCTACGAGATTTCCTAGAATCAGAAGTCCATATAGCAGGGGTACATGCAGGTACAAGAGCCAGCCACTCAACAGGCCTCATTCTCCATGCCAAGTGATGGGTTTCATTTGCTGTCTGCAGAAACATAAGGACAGGATTCTCCTTATGCACAGCAGAAAGGAACCAGAAATGAGCAGCAAATGCAAAAGGCATCTCAAAGCAGAAAGGGCACTGGAGCTTTTCAGCAGCAAACCATGCACCAGAGTGCTATCAAAGGCAAGCATATGAAATAAGAGCAGATCTATGGGGTTAATCCACCTAGTCCAGGACATCAGCACTGACAAGAGGCAGAAGGATGTGCTTTTTAGGGGAGAGCACATGAACCTGACCATTACCTGTGGCCCACTCCCCCTGCATCCACAGGCATTGGATTAGGGATGTCAGGGAGGACAACCAGTGCAGGCAGGACAGCCACCCCACAGCATCAAACCTATGCAGAGGCTACACTCTTGACCAAGGAACAGTGTTTCATCTGTGCACTGTTAAGCACAGATTGTCTAGAAGCGTGTCTGAAGAGAACGACAATGGGTCAGACATCCTGGATGCTCCATTCAAAAAAGAGCACCCACTATAGCCTGCATGCTGAAGCCCTGGCACTTGGTGTCTAGCTGAGCCAGCTCAGAACAGAGCAGCACATCCAGCAGGGAAGCACTGGGGGTCCCTCTCCCACTCCACCTCTTCTGACTTTCTGACTATTTTGTTTTTCTTTTCTTTTTCACTCTTCTTGATGAAGTTAGCAGCAGCCCAACTCATCCTGTTCCTCTGGAAGACCACCTGGCAATGAGATCCCCTCCAGTGGTGGAAAAAAAGAAAGCCAAAAGGGGTTTTACGCCATGAAGTGAGGCAACAGGGAGTGAAGGGCCCGCACACATCAGTCCATCCCATGCTGACTGACCCCTTGAGACAAGTTCAGCCTTGCTCAATAGAGGAAAATCACTTCCCATTTTCAAACTGCAGGAAATCCCCATTCCCCTTCAAAGAGGGATCCTGGGGAGGAAACATCTGTGCACTTAAAAGCCTGAGCTCCCTGAAGATGTGTTAGCTCACATTGTGCTCCAGCAGAGTGCAGCCCAGGGGCTCTCCTGAACACACAACTCAAGGTAAAGCAAAACAATCCCAAAACCACAAATGCAGGCCCTGAGCAACCCGATCTAACTCTGAACAGGGGGTTGGACCAGAGACCTCCAAAAGTCCCTTCCAATTGAAATTCTTCCATGATTTTATGATCCTATTTCAACAGAGCATCCAGTCTTGGAGCAAATAAAGAGGATGCCTCTAGCTGTGGGAAAGATTTTAATTAAATGCAGTGTCAGGTCACTTACCTGCTGTTGCCACTTGCTCAGAGTCACACTGCACTTCTGCTGAGACCCAACAGCACAAAGAAAGGCTACAGAGTCCCGCTAAGCAGCTCCCCTGCAGTGTCCTGCCCAGTGCTGGAGGATCACTGGGGACAGAAAGCTGGACAAAACGTGCAGGGGAAACTCCCTGCAAGAAGCGATGCAAGGACACAGCAGGGAAAAACTGCCACAACATAAACCTGCACCAGAACAGCCCTGTTTTGCGGGGAGAAGCTTGCTCTGTACTGACGTTACTGAGCTTATGTTCTGTCTAACTGCAGTTTTCATAAATACCTAACTTGGCAAAGGTGTGTGTCAACCAAAGGGCATGAAGCAGAAATAAGGCAGACATGGTGCAGTCAAAGAAGTGCGATCTGTGTTTGAAAACAGCTGATGCTGCAAACAGGATTTGCTAGTGAGAGAAGTCCACAGAAGACCCTTGGTGGCAGGGGTGCCTACACCAACACCCGTGTCCATCCCAGTTTTGGCATGAAGATCCCAGCACCGAGAAATGCCCTGCAGACCCTGCATACCCCAGGCTGGGCACGGGCATGCCTGCATTAACATGTGCCCTGGCAAAGCAGAATGCCCAGGGCAGTTCTGAACCCCTCCGGCATTACCCACAGTCTCTTTCTCTAGTACTTTGAGTCATTCTGTATTTTGTTCATTTTTATGCAATCTTTCTTGCTCAACGTTTGGTTTCCATGGAGTTACATACACTGTGTGAAACAGATTTATATTTAGAAAGTGGAGCGGGTCATATGACCTGTCCCAGTTGTCATGGCAACCAGCACAGCTCCCATTGGGCTGAATCTGGTGGCACATGGCTGCTGGGGACAAGTCGCCCTCCCTGGGTGGCCCTGTGGGCACTGCTTCTGCAGCAGAAACACAGCAAGACACTGCCAATGCCAACTCGGCCACTGGCCCTCCAGCCCCCACATCCCAGCCGTGCCATTCCTCTTCCTTGGGCACTATGCCTCGTCTCTGGCCACCTTCTGTAACATCAGCCCTCTCCCTCGAAGAGAAAAAGTCCCTTTGCCTGTGCCAAGTGTTAGGGCATCTCAGAGCGCTGCTTCTGCTGCCAGGCTGGAGCCATGGGCTGAGCTATGCCCAGCACACACCCCACATGCCAGTCTAGCAGGACAGCTCTCATTTTTCCCAGTCTTAAAAATCTCCCTGCCCTAATAAGTCTCCTCTGTGTCACGCCAAAGTCTTCACCCCTTCTTCCTCCTAAATAACTTCAGCATCTCTGTGCAGCTACCATTTCCTTGAGTGCAATCTCTGCCACCCTCCTACGAACCCGCCGCAGCTGTGACCAGGAGGAGGACCGGATGGCCCTTGTGCATGAGTCCCTGCTCTGCAGCCAACTCTCCTGCAGTTCCGCACCCCTCTATTTCCCATTTGGCTAAGAAATGCAGTATTCATGCTTCCCACCCAGCTCTACCTTCCCCACTGAGGGCCTGCTCTCCCAGCCAGATCCACAGCTGCCAAAGTCCTCCCTCCTCTCCCACCCAAGTCCCTGGCTGTGATGCACTCATGTGCCCAGGACTTTGCTTTAAGGTAACATCCATGAGTAGCACCGTGTTTGCAGAGAATTAGCCTTCTGGGACTGGTATACTTTTCTCTGTCAGTATCCTAAACTAGGGAAAACAAGCTGTTTCTGAAGGATATATGACGCCGGGGGACAGACTGGGTGATGTTTTCTGGCTCAGTGCTGTGTGAGACACCAAAATGGGTGGCAAGAGACCCCTTCAAAACAGGGACTGTTGAGCCAGAGGTGAAAAATCCAAGTAACTCCAGTGCAGGTCGGTCCTCTCCCTTCCTTCTCAACGTGTATCTGGTGCACAAAGCCACGTAAGGGGCCAGACTGGGAGAAGCCACAGCACTGAGCTGCAGCTGAGCCTGTCCCCTGCGGTGGGTTCCATGGGACCTGTGGCACCAGAACCTGCCGCAGACGATGCTCACTCCCCAGCAAAGCAGCAGTTCAGGGAGGTGCTTGGCAATGGCTATAGACTTTTTTGGCTGAGGAGGGGGAAGCTGGGCAGGTGTAAGAGGTAGGAAGGACGAGAAAGATGGGGGGGGGGGGGGGGGGGAGGGGAGGGGGGGGGACAGGGAG